AAACATATGTTATGATGAACTCCAAGCTTATGCATATTGTTTTTCTACAACAATTCAACTACATCACACCTAATCCATGGCACTGTCTGGTTTTTCCATTCTAGATTAGGGGTCTATAATGTACAACCTGAGGTCTGGATCTGGCCCGTGGAGCTGCAGGGCTTTGCCTGTGCCTGTGCTGGAGCTGTGCAGCAAGGGGCTGTGAAAAGGCTGAGGACCTAGAAATTGTGCCTGTGCTGCTATTGCTTCTCGCTGCCCCACTTCTCTCCCACAGGTTTGTGGCCTGGGCACAGCTTCCAGAGCTACACCAGGGCTGGGGAAGCTGTGCCTTAACCACTGCCATTACTCTGTCCCTCCCCTCTCCCCAAGGCTGTGGTATGAGCGCAGCTTCCAGCCAGAGTGGAGTGGTGCCAGGGCCAGGCTGGGGTGGGTGTGGGGGAGCAGGAGAGGAAGGGGAAGCAGCAGCAAGATGAAAGCAACTTGCTACTGCCTGGCCTGGGCACAGCCCTGCTAGAAGCTGCTCTCACCCTGCAGTCAGAGAGCAGGAAGCTGGGAGAAGCGCTGGGGACACAGATGCAGCTCCCAGGTACATGGCTCCATTGGGGACCTAGGGAAACCTCCCCCACTGCTGACATGATGCCAAAGCCACCCAGCTTACACTAGACTGGGGACAGGTTGTCCCAATCTGCCGCTTGGAAAAGGTTGATGTCCCCTGATTTCCAGCTTACCCCTGGCATTTTCCTAATCCATCACCAACAGTCACAAGACCTGTTTCAAATTAAGATTTCCAGGTTCTCACTGGCATCTTATTTGCCAAGTTCAGCTCCTCAGGGACTTGTATTTGTTGGCTAAATTGTCTGAGCTGGTGGAGTAGCAGTTCATCGACCTGCCATTGTCACTAGCAGTATTTTGAATGCTGGGGAACTTGCTGAGGTATGACTAAAGGGGATCAGTAATCATTTCATTCATATTTACTGTGGTAATAAATTATGGGATTGTGACAATTTGGTGGGTTCATTGTCCTTGCCTCCCTTCTAATACTGGGCATGGAATATACAGCAAGTGTGGTTAAGGCACAGAGAAAAATGGAAGGTACATCTGAGCTAGGCCTTGTGTTAAGTTTGGCATCAGCACTTCATAAGACCTGTCCACACTGTGAAGCGCAGTATTCAAAGGGAAGATTTGATGTGGATACATAGAGAAGGATGCTGCAACTCTTTTTATTTGGGCCCACACTTTCAACTTATGGAAGCCCACTCTGCAAGTTAATTGTCATTTTAGATTTGGGTTAATTTTAATATAGTAGGCTTGGGTTTAACTTAATAAAATTGCAACCAGAGACTTCTTAAGCTAAACTCTTATCTGAGTTTTTAACATCATAAATGGTAAATGACATGGAATTGGTAAATGGTAGATGACATGGCTATATTAACCAGAATTTTTTTCAATAAACAGTATCCATTCAAACATTTTCTTAAAAAAAAGATACACATTTAGGAAGATAATATGAGATATATTCCTTTGAGGATATACAGAAGTACAGTGTTGTTTTTTGTTTTTAAATATTTTAGGTTTTTTTGTGTGCCTCTCTCTGTTCTGTTCTATTATGTAATTTCATACCATGACCTGAATTGTTCTCTCTGCTCAGTCATTTATTCTTTTCTTACTTTAGTTTTTTTTAAATGTGGTAATCATTAGTGCATGAGATTGCTTTATAATGTCTTAGCTTTGTTTACTAGTTGTTAGACTTACATTGCCTAACACAGAACTAAAATATTGGGGCCCAGGTAAACTAAATTGAACTATAAAACATATTACTCCTAGCTAGTCAATCCATTAGAGTTTTGCCTGTGTAAAGCGTATTGGAGCGATTCCTGACAATAGCATTTGGTATGATAATAAGCCACTTCCGCTTCAGAACACTGTCTAACTTTACTCTGTTTATGGTATTTGGGTCAAGATTGTGATTAAGAAGATTATCCAGGAAGAAGTAAAACCTTCAGAAATAGTCTATATAGTTTCATAATCCAGGAAAACTGTCATGGCTCCTTTCTTCTACATGAGGACTGCAATAGTTTAGACTACACCAGAAAGGTCAAGAAATATTATTCACCAAGGAAACAGAGGGAACAGAGCAGTCCTTAAACAGTAACTCCCACACAATACTGCTCTACAAACCTGTTGAGATTACCAAAAAACCCCAAACAAACAAAAAAAAGCATGACCAAAATGAAAGCTCAAATACAAGTTGTGTAAGCCACCAAAAATCAGTCATTAGGTTTAGCTGGGTAACTGGATGAGTTTATTCATGATATTACATAGCTATGACTACCTTCATTTGGTTTGAATAGAATTCCCATTTTCTGAAAGGAGGAGTTTCCTGGAGACAAGTTTTTCCCTTCAGACTTCAGTGGAAACTGAAGGTGTAGACACACACGACAACTGAACCTTTCCTAGATGTCACTGATTGGAAACTGGTTCACAGTTATATCAAGTGCTGTGGCTCACCCAGGCCAGCATGCCTCACAGTTGGTGAAGGTGTGGTGGGGAGAAAAGTTCTTGCTTTGGGGAGTTCCAGGGGGTGAGTAACCTGTACCTGGAGGCATTTTTACTTTTCCACTTTCCCTTCTCTCCTTGCAGTGAGTGAAATAAACTTCAACAGCCTGCAATTGACCACAATCTGCAGTGTGCTTGCCTGACTTGGGGGCGGGGGGAAAGGGGAATGCTTGGATACATGTTTTGGCTCCCAAGGGGTGGTTGCACATTGTGAGGGGCTGCGAGTAGGGCATGAGGACACAGCAGCTTATTTGAAAGATGGACTTTGTTGAATAAGCAGTGCTAAGGAGCTGCGCAAAAGGGAGAAAGGGAGGCAGTAGAGTGGCCAGTTGCAGTAGTGATGGGGGGGTATGCAGTGTAGGATTCTTGAAGAAATGACGAGACCAACATCATGTAACACAGGTTCACAGTGAACTAGTTCAAAATAGTATCTGATCTTTCACATACAATTTTGAACCATTCCAGGTGGACGTAAACAGATTAGCAGACTTGTATGTCTATCCACTTTAGGTTTCAATTGCATTTATACCATTCTAAATGTCATGTGTGTCCATGTCGTGAATATGCAAATCTAAGATCACTTCATGCTGTGTGAGGCAGAAGGCAGGGTAGAGCTGCGCCATGTAGACTATTAGTCAGTCAGTCTATAATATACACCTCAGACACCCTGCCTCCTCTCTGACTTCAGCCTAACTACCTCTCCATGATGTATAAGTATAAATTTCACAAGTTGATCTTATTAATACTGCTCTGCATTATTTGAAATTAGACGTTAGCACTGAGGTATACTGAATGTTTCATGTGCATTAATAATCTTCTGAAACCAAATATAAAGGACAATTCATTTCTGCATAACAAAGCATATTGACAGTTTAGAAAAGTAAGCCATGAATCAATATCATGCAATTAGACACTCACATCAACACAAAAAAGGAAAAGCAAAGAATGTATAGAACAAAAATTTTCATTGACCTGATTTGTCAGAGATGTTGGCTGTAACTGGCGTGGTGGAGTAGCTTGTGTTAGCCTTTGCGCTGTCCTTGGAAGCTTTTGGTTTATTTTTCGTTGCCTCTAGTGCTTTGACCTTCTTGGCATGTTTACTTCCTTTGTAGTGGGCCTCAGCCTGGCTCTACAAAGGAGAACAAATCAGGCTTATTTGTTTGTACTTCCATACAACACAAGAGATGATAATGTGGGGCACTTTCAATAATAGGCACCATAATATTCCACCTGACAAAGTTCAGTAGTGTGTTATTAATATTTTCCTAAACTTAATGTATTTTATATATTCAGATGACAAAATTTGCATTTTAAAAGAGATTTTAAAGAATATGTACTTTCTTCAATGTAGAATGAAATTTGATTTTGTATTAGAATTGATGTCTCCATATCCAATTCCTTGCTATCATAATCTTCAGATGTAATACTTAATGTAAATGTGAATACATCCAATTGAGAAAACTTCTATTTAATTTCATGTAGTTACCTGCTCTTTATTGCTTATAGTTAGAAAGATATTCTCTGTGCTGTAACATGATTAAATAATCCATTTTTCTCTTGCTTGATCTAGTACAAGAGTCATGAAGTATTCTCATCATTACACTAATAGCAATTGAAACAGGCATTAATGATATTATGTCTACACTATTAGATCAAGGAGGAGGGATGAAAAAAGAAACACCACTGTCGTTAACTTTAATAGACTGAACTAAAACATAGGAAACATTTACAATATGCATCAATTTTGATTATGTTTTATTAATTGTCCTACATAATCCTTCTGAAAGACCTAAAATGTTGGAGACTCTGGGACAGACCACCAGAGAAAAACTTATTATTAGCTTCTTTTCTAAAATGTCATGAAATATATACCTCCTGGTTCTGCACTAAAAATAACTTCTGATGTTCATAAGAGAAAATATTTACTTCTTTGTCATAAAACTATTTATAGAAACTAGGTCAAATGTACATGCCTGAAGTTAGGCACTTAAATGAGCTGCCTGATTTGCAGAGATTTAGAGTACCCTTTGACAACTGAGTTCTTTTTGTCCCCAAGTGTAAAGTGGGAGCTTAACTTTTAAACACCCAAATTAAAAAAATGTCAGGTTATGACTTCTCAACACAAAGCTTGCTGACTTCTAAAAACCTAATTAACATATTAACATATTTTATAGAGTAAAAATAGATTAAGAATATTATATGAATATACAAATGAAAAGCCATTATTATTTAATTGTAAACAGTATTATTTAGCAAGGCTATGCATTATTAACAAATACTCATAAATGACATTCTTTTAGTTTTGAAACTTGTATTAAACAGGTGCCTCTATTGAAGGTTACATATTAACTATTTAAGTTAATATTGCAATTTAATTCAAACTAAAGTTAGCATGCTTCTTGAAATGACATGAAGAGATGATTTCATCTCAGTGCTTCATATATAGAATATCAGTGCAAGAAATATTTAATATGTTCATGCAAAAGTGAATTATATTAACACATCTTTGCATCATCATTTAGTTCACTGTATTAAATGAAGCAAACAACAGAATAAACTTCATGTTTTATATACACCAGCTATGGGGTCCAGACAGGTATGAAAAATAGCACAGATATAATGAGGACAATCTTAATGGGGCTTAATGCACCTAGGAATCACGGTCACCTTAAGACAGTGTGGGTAGAATGTAAGCAGACAGTAGGAGCAGATGGAAAAGACAAGAGAACACATACAAATCTCTATTCACTAAAGTCTTAATTATTTGCATGATGAAAAATCACTAAAACACTGCAGCTAAAACAGCCATTTAGATGAGATGAATTATTCATTTTAGTATACAAATGATTGTATATACTGTAAAATAAGGAACAGAATATGCAGCATGCTTATTCTCTGATAACTTTGTTAAGAGCGTGTTCAGGAATAAGAACTGCCAAATAAACATTATTTTGCAGACCTTTCTGAAAAAAAATACCTACTTGTCTGTAAATCAATTTACAGCAGAGTCTAAAAACTAGTTGCAACTAAACTATTTTATGACTAAAACCTCTGTAGTATTGAAATATAATCAAACACAATGCAAAAATTAAAGAGAAACAGCTAAATTATTGAACAGAAGTACAACTATCTCTACATATAGTATTTAAAGAGACGTGTCAACTTGAATTTCTTGAAACTGCTGGATATCAAAAAATTCATTTCTTTTTGCTAGAGCCTCCTTTAAATATTATGTCCTCTTTTTCTTGGAAAATACTTGATAACTGTTAAAGATTTTTTTCACTCCTTTTCTATTAGACTTAGACATGTTTCATAGACGAGCAGGGAAGACTCATCACAAAATAAGGCACACCCACACCACTCATTGCATTCTTTTTCTGTCTGCAAACACTCCCTCTTTTGCTGGTTGCTGCCCATTCAGTTTCAGCTTTGGTGCTGCTGTACCCTTCAGAAGACGTGCAAAATGTCAACAGCCGAGTGAAACTGCATACTCAAAAAGCTGTCAAAATGCATAAAGCTAAAGACAGAAAAAATATATTTTTCCTCAAGCCTCCTTCTGTTCTAGCAACTTATATTGTAACAGCAGCAGATGCAAAAAAATTCAAGTTGATGATGTCCCTTTAAATATTTGATCTATAACTATGCTCAATGCATACATGCTCTGTTGATAAGATCCTATGTTGCCTGAGGAAAGTTACAACAGAAGAAACATAAGTGCACTCAAGAGAAAGACTTACTAAGTCGGTACATTGCTAATAAGCCTTTCTGCTGATATTTGCAATAATAATGCCTGCAATATCAGTAATAACCTACTACTGTGATTCACTTCATTCAATCCTCATCTACTGTAATGAAACCTGTTGAAAACAAACAAGTCCAGATAGAATTAAAACTAATGTAAACTGTTTAAAGATATTTGCAGCCTTCACTGAAATCTCTTGGCTGGCATCACTTTTGATATTCACTAGATGGTAATTGTAACTATAAAACACAAAATTACAGGCATATATTACATTATAAAGAACATAAGTTACCATTGTTATCCTCTCAGTCTGACTTCTTACATAATACAGATTTTTTCTGAATTAATTCTTGCTTGGACAAGCCAATATATTTTAGAAAAAGCATTCAACCTTGGTTTTAAAATTTCCAGTAGTGGGCAGCTCACTATAGACCTGGGTAAGTTTTTTCAAGATCTAATTATCATAACTTAAAGCGTTAGTCTTCTTTCTAGTCTGAGTTTATCTTATTTCAACATCCAGCAACTGGATTTGTTACACTTTTGTTGGATAAAATGAAGAAACCTCCGGTATCAAACTTCTATTTCTCACACAGGGATACAGTGTGATTAAGTGCTCCCTGCCCCTGCCTTAAACTTTCATTTTGATATACTTCATAGATTGAGCTCTTTGTGTCTTTCAGTAGAAGGCATATTTTCTAATCATTTCATCATTGTTATAGCTCTTTTCAGAATCCCCTCCAATTTTTCAACATTCTCCTTGATTTGTGGATAGCAGAACTGGATGCAGCATTACAACAGATGTCCTGCAGCATCAAATACAGAGATAATCACTTTACTGCAACTTAGTGTTCCTCTGTTTATGAATACAGGAATCATAATAGATCTTTTGCTCACATGATTACACTGCAAAGCTAGCATTCAAGTTGATTAGCCAGCATTACCCACAACTTTTTTCCAGGTCACTTCTTCTTAGGACGAAATCCCCCATCCTGAATGTATGGCCTACTTTCAATGTTCCTAAAATATATATCCCCAAATATCTGGCTGTACCAAGCAGCATATTATTTGTTTGCACACACCTTACAAAATTATACATACTACTCTGTGCAAGTAACCTGCCCACTTTTTCTTTACCACTTCCCGAAACTTTAAATGACTTGCAAACTTTTAGGAATGATTTTAAGTTTCTGCCAGATCATAGATAAAAATGTTACATATACCAGGGAGAAGATATATCATTTTTAAAGCATGAAAATTTCATATCATTATATATTTGTCACTGTCTTGTAATGGGAGTGGATAAAATCCCAGGGGTCAGTGCTCGGACCCATGCTCTTTAACATCTTTATTAATGACCTGGATGAGGGCATGAAAAGTGCAATGATTAAGTTTGTGGATGGTACCAGGCTGTGGGGACAAATGGGCACATCAGAGGACACGTCAAAAAATCAGGAAGACTTGGACAGGCTGGTCCTATGGGCTGAACAAAACCATATGAGGTTCAACAGGATCAAATGCTGGGTCCTTCATCTGGGTAGGATGAACCCTCACCATACCTATACAAAGGGTGGTGGTCCAGTGGCTGGCACTGCATCTGAAAGGGACCTAGGGATATCAATTGCCCAGAGGATGAAAATGAGCCACCAATGTGCCAAAGTCACCAACAGAGCAAATAGAATTCTGGCGTGCATCAGCACACGTGTCACCAAACAGATCCAGAGAGGTGCTCCTCCCCTTTTATTCAGCATTGGTGAGGCTACAGCTGAAGTACTGTGCCCAGTTCTGGGCACCGCACTTCAAGAAGAATGTGGACAAGCTTGAAAGGGTGCAGAGAAGGGCCACCTGCATGATCAAGGGCCTGGGGGACAGGTCCTATGAGAAGAGACTTCAGGATCTGGGTTTGTTCAGTCTGAGTAAAAGAAGACTGAAGGGTGACTTGATAGCCGCCTACAAATATATCAAGGGAGAACACCAGGATCTAGGAGAACAACTTTTCAGAAAAGCGCCCCCTCCACCCAGGAAGCCATGGACCAATGGAGACAAGCAAGTCGAGGAAAAGTTTCAGCTGGGCATAAGGAAAAACTTCTTTTCCATACAGGTAACTAGAATCTGGAACACACTTCCAGCAGAGGTGGTGCAGTCGCCATCTCTGGTGGTCTTTAAGAGGAGGCTGGACAAGTACTTCATTGAGCTCATTTGAGCCCCATTACCTTCTGCCCATGGCGGGGGACCAGACTTGATGATCTTACAGGTCCCTTCCAGTCCTTCTTTCTATGATTCTATGAAAATATGAGCCCAATCACATACCCTTTTAAGCAAGGAAACCTTCCACTGATGTAGACCTCTGTATGATACAAATTAATTTACATATAATTAAACAAAATTAA